TTGGGGATCCTTTGTTAATGATTTGGCCTGGTAACCATCAAATGACCGTAATCTGGTAGTACATCCGCACCCATAGGAATTAAAGGGCCAACAAGATTATTTTCCAATTTTCCAACACGCCCGCAAAACGAACAAACTAGGCACACTGGTTAGCAGTTAGTTAAAACGGAAAATGGACTAAAATGAAATGCTAAATGATCAATGATCTAAGGGTAAAATTTAGGGTGCGACAGCGACGAATCACTCGAATAGGCATTTTCCAACAATTCTCTCAATTCTGAAGGGTTAGAATTATGAGAATTGGTGCAAGAAGATCGATGAAGGTGGTTTTCTATTATCAAGATTTTTGGGATCTTTTGAAGGAAGGAGTAACACCGCTTGCAGAAAATGCGACAGGTCAAGATAAGGTTGCATACAAAGAATTGAAAAGGAAAGACTATAAAGACCTCTTTATAATTAATCAATGTGTTAATCCAGACAATTTTGAAAAGGTTAGTGATGTTGAATCAATGAAAGAAGCATGGAAAATCTTGGAGAAATTGTTAGGAGGCACAGAGAAGGTGAAAGAGGTGAGGTTACAAACTCACAAAATGACGTATAAATTACTTCAGATGGAAGAAAGTGAAAGCATAACAAATTTCCTCACTAGGATTACTAAATTGGTGAATCAAATCAAGGTATGTGGAGAAGTGTTGACATCAAGATCAGTTGTTGCAAAGATCTTGAGGTCATTAGCTCCAAAGATCGACCACGTGGTAGTAGCCATAGAAGAGTCAAAAGATTTGTCAACATTGACAAATGAAGTGCTTCAAGGGACTCTTGAATCTCATGAACAAAGAATCGTTGAAAGAGTTGTAGGAAAGTCAAAGAGTGATATGGCTTTGCAGGTGCAATAAGAAAAAGAAAAGAAAGGAAAAGGTAGTTAAAATGTCAACAAAGGCATATGAGGTTACAACAATTTGACTAGTCGAAATCAGCAAGAAGGAAACTGGTCGGATTAGAGAAAACCCTGGAACCAAGGCAACAAAAAAGGTGGTGGTAAAAAACTTGACAAAAGTCACAATCAATGTTACAATTGTCAGAAGTATGGTCATTATTTTTGTGATTGTCTTGAAAAGTAGAAGAATTAAGAAACTAATGCAAAGTTGGCAAAACATGAAGAAGAAGAGATGTTGTTGATGGTCACAATAAGAGATGAAGAAAGATTCCAGGATCAATGGTACTTGAACCCAGGACGCTCACCACACATGACTGAAAGTAAAGATTTGTCTGTCAACATAAAGCCCTCAATGGAGAAGATGGTGAAATTTGCAAATGACAATACTCTAGAATCTGAAGGTATTGGTGATGTTCTAATTATGAGGAAAGATGGCAAGAGGTAAGTAATTTCTAATGTATTTTACATACAAAGCATGAAGAGCAATTTGCTCAGTATAGGGCAGTTGGTCGAAAAAAATTATAAGGTGTCGATTGAAGACAAGATGATAAGAGTTCTTGACTCAAATGGAAGGTTGATCTAGAAGGCTCCAATATCTCAGAATAGAACCTTCAAGATTTAACTTAATGTGATGGAGCATAAGTGCCTTACAATTGCAACCAGCAAAGATGAATGGATATGGCATTATAGACTTGGCCATCTTAACTTCAAAGACATTAGAGATTTGAAGAGAAAAAATATGGTTTCAGGATTACCAGAAATCGACATTCCAAGTGAAGTGTGTGAAAAATGTGTTCAGTCGAAACAACATAAGAATAGCTTTAGTAAGGATGCATGAAGCAAGTTAATGTCAATTCTTGAAGTCATATACTTTGATGTATGTGGTCCTATCCAGGTGAATCCGATTGGACGGAATAGATATTTTGTCACGTTAATATATGATTTCAGTTGAAAGCTATGGACTTATCTGATCAAGAAGAAAAGTGAAGTGATCGACGTATTTTCCAAATTTAAGCCTATGGTCGAAAGACAGAGTGGTAGAAAGCTAAAGATTCTGAGGATTGATGGTGGTGGAGAGTATGTGTCGAAATATTTCGATGCATTATGTAAGAAAGAATGGATTGTGCATGAGGTGGTGCCACCCTACACTCCAAGCAGAATGGAAATGCAGAATGGAAGAATAAAACCATCATGAATATGGCGAGAAACATATTAAAAGACAAGCATCTTCCCAAAGAATTATGGCGAAAAGTTGTGTTGACTACAACATACATCTTGAATAGATGTCCGACGAAGAAGTTAGGAGGATTCACGCCAGAAGAATGTTGGTCTGATGTAACACATAGCCTAAGTCATTTGAAGTTGTTTGGAGATATAACACATAGACATGTGCCATATCAGTTGAGAAGAAAACTTGATGACCAGTCGATTCAAATGATTCTAATAGGATATCATTTGACTGGAGGATACAAGTTGTTCGACCCAGTGAACAAGCTTGTCGTGATTAGCATGGACGTGATCATAGATGAGCTTAAGGAATGAGATTGGAATGAGAGTGTTAAGAAGGATTAAGTGAGAATCTTATGTGAAAAATTAGCTAGTTAAATCAAAAGAGAAGTTCGACAAGAAGAAGTTAGAGGTGAAACAGGCCCAAGTAGATCTCAACGAACAAGACATATGCCTTCGAGGTTGCAAGAATGTGTGATTACATCATATGATGTAGTCGATGATGAACGTGAGCTGGTACACTATGCTTTCTATGCAGATGTCAAAACACTGAATGCAGCTGAGGCATTGAAAGATTCAAAGTGGGTGAAAGCAATGAATGAGGAACTAGAGTCCATCCAAGTCAACAACACTTAGTAACTTTTTCAAATTCCTAAAGACAAGAAGGCAATGATGTGAAATGGGTATACAAGGTGAAGTTGAAACTCAAAGGAGAAGTAACTCGACGCAAGGTGAGACTTGTGGCGAAAGGATTTCTTCATAAAGAAGGAATCAACTTCAAAAAAGTTTTTGCACTCGTTGCTAGGATCAAAACAATCACAGATTTGTTGTTGGTCTAACAAACATGAACAAATGGCAGTATGCCAAATGGATGTGGAATATGCATTCCTGAATGGCCCCTTAGATGAAGAAGTTTATGTCGCACAACCAACTGAATTTATGAAATAAGGCAAAGAATGTAAGGTATACAGGCTGCATAAAGTCCTCTATGGACATAAGCAAGCTCCAAGAGCTTGGAATAAAAAGATAGAAAGCTTCCTAAGGGAGAAGGAATTTGTGAAATGCACAACTGAGTATGGAGTATATGTAAGAAGAAGCAATAATGAATTTTTTTATAATATGTCTATATGTCAATGACTTGTTAATAACAGGAAGTTGCAAGAAGGAGATCGAAGACTTCAAACATGACCTAAGTGAGGAGTTTGAAATTTCAGACTTGGGAAATCTCTCATATTTCCTTGGTATTGAGTTCTACAAGAGTGGTAGAGGTTTGATGATGCACCAAAGAAGATATATAGGAGAAATACTTAAGAGATTTAAGATGCAAGATTGCAACCCAACTTCGACTCCAGCTGAGCCGAGATCGCAACTGTCGAAAGAATCAGATGAAGATGATGTCAATCCAACGCAGTATAGAAGACTCATTGGATCACTTCGATACCTTTTCCACACAAGGCCTGATCTAGCATACAGTATGGGTATGGTAAGTAGATTCATGGAAAAGCCAAAGGTATCACACCTAGCAACAACGAAGAGGATACTAAGGTATCTGAAAGCAACTTTCGAATATGGAATTTTATTTCCTGTAATTGATGAAAGAAAAGAATGCAAGTCATTGAGGTACACGTCTCAACTTGGTGTAGTGATGCTGAGGATAGAAAATCTACAGCTGGCTATCTGTTTATGCTAGGTGGTGCACGAGTTGCTTGGAGTTCAATAAAGGATCCAATAGTGACATTGTCTTTGTGTGAAGCAGAATACATAGTTGCTTCTCTCTGTGCATGTCAAGCAAAGTGGACGGTGGACCTGGTTGAAGAGATTACTGCGAAGAGCCATGAAGCAATTACCATGAAGATCGACAACATGTCAACTATCAACCTGGCGAAGAATTCGATAGCACATGAGCGAAACAGGCACATCGAAATAAGGTTCCACTATCTTCGTGAGCATTTAGCAGAAGGGAAGATAAATTTGGAACACTGCAGAACTGAGAATCAGATTGCAGATATCATGACGAAAGGAGTGCAAGTCGAAGTGTTTAAGAAGCTAAAGTCTATGATGAATATAGATATCTTAGACACAATGAATTAAGTGGTGTGTTGAAAATATAATTCCTTGTGTCGAAGCAAGTGTAGCTCGACAGAAACAAGAACGTGTCGAAATTAGCCTAGTGTGTGTCGAGTTATGTTAGGTGTCGAAGTGTCGAAGTAGGTTTCTTGACACATAATTTCGACTTAGACCAAAATAGAAATTTCGGGCTTTTGTGTTTTTGGGCTTTACCTTAGGGAACAATGTAGCTCAATTATAAATAGAGGGAGTAATCCTTAATCTTGTAATAACTTGTATTCATAGAAGTTTGCAGTTGCAAAGTGAATAAGAGAATTTCCACAGTTTGTGGGCAGAGAGAAACTCTGCAGAAAATCACCATCTTCTCCAATTTTTGTCAAACCCTAACTTTCTTTCGTATTCAATTTTCTTTCTTCTTCCATTAACAATTGTTGCGCAGAATCATTCTTGCAATGATGGTATGATTGTTTCACATGAGTAGAGAGTGAAGAACAAGAGATTTCAATCAGATTGATTGAATCTTGTTCATCAAGATTGATTCAGAGTTCTCAAAATTTTCGATTAATTCTAACACAAGTAATACATATTTCAAGGTAGATCAAAGCAAAGCTCTAGATCACATATTGATTATTAAATAAATAGAGCACATAAATACTAAGACAACTATTGTTCCCATTCACTCTACCTAAATTCAATAATAACAAACCAAAAATATACCTAGAAACATACCTTATTAAACAAGAAATCAACATAATATAAAGAGATACATCTACTTATGGATATTAGCAACAAGGCAAAGAGGATTTTTCTTATGTTGAGTGATTCCTGGCAACATTTCGGTATCAATCTCCATCAATCCATGTGGTAATTTCCAATCAAACACATATAGAAGATTAGCAAGGATAAGTTCCAATGATGCAACTGCCATAGATATACCTGGACAAATTCTACGACCAGCTCCAAATGGTATTAGCTCAAAATCTTTTCCGTTAAAATTTATAGAACTTTCTAAGAATCTCTCAGGATAAAACTCATTAGGGTTTTTCCAAACTTTAGGGTCTCTTTGAATAGTCCAAGCATTCACATACAATATTGTCTTGGCTGGAATATTGTAACCACTTATAGTACATTTTTCTCTAGATTCTCTTGTCACAAGCAACGGGGCTGGTAGGTGCAATCTTAATGTCTCTTTAATCACTGCTTTTAAATAAGGAAAATTTTGAATATCATGTTCTTCTAAAAAGTCTTTGTTAGATTTCAAATTCCTAATTTCTTCTTGTACTTTTTTCATTACTCTTGGATTTTTCATTAGAGCAGTCATAGCCCAAACAGATGTGGCTGATGTTGTATCTGTTGCAGCAACAAGCATGTTCTACAAAGAAAAAGAGAGCTATTAAATTTAATATATATGTCTTTTAAACCTTGGAGTTTATTTAAGTAAATATTTTAAATAATTTTAATAATATTGTCATATAAAATTTTTATGTCAACTATAACTATCTTAACTTTTCAAGAATTTAATATATTATGCAAATCTGAGTTCAATTGAAAAAAGGTAAGTCGTTAAAGTTCGTTAAAACCCACACAACAAAAGTTTCTAAAAAGAGCAAGCAAACATAATGAGAGTATTTAAAAAGTTTTAAACCAAATCTCAAATATTAAGATGAATAAATCAAATGATTATACAAGGAATCTATCTTTTTAAAAAAATTATCATGTATTGTTTTATATTTCATTTAATATAAATATTATTAACAGTCGAGATAAAATCAGGATTAATTAGCATCAGATATAAATCTAAAAATTCTATATTAAATCTTAATTATTAATAGGATTGTATCATATTAAATGAAAGAGAAAATAATTTAATTTATTTAATATGACCATATGATCCAATTCTATTAATGATTGAGATAGAGTCAGAATTTATTTACGCCGATTATAAATTTAAAAGTTTTAAACTAAATCTCAATCGTTAATAGAATTAAATCATTAACGGTTGAAATTTTGTTTAAAGAGTTATATTTAGTGTCAAGCGAGAATATATATATATATATATATATATATATATATATATATATATATATATATATATATATATATATATATATATATATATATATATATATATATATATATATATATATATATATATATATATATATATATGATTTAAAATATCATACCATAAGTACCCCTTTGATGTGATCAAAAGTGATATCAAAAGGAAGTGAACGTTCTTTCATCAACTGGAGTAAGACATCGACAATATCCTTTTCATCTTTAATTTGATCTCTATTTGGATCCAAATGTTCATCAATAATCTCTTGATAAAACTCATCAAGCTCCTTGAAACTTTTATCAACACGACCATGCAACCCTCTCAGTTTATCAATCCAACCCGTAAATGGAATATAATCACCAACAAAAAATTCTGCCAGCAAAGCTTGAAACTCATGCAACATTTCATGAAACCTACTTCTCTCATGTCCTTCATCTTCATAGCTTTTTCCAAAAGCAATCCTACATATCATAGTACTTGAGAGAGAAATTAATAACTCACTCAAATTTGTAACAGCTGAAGAATTAGCATGTTCTGAAATTTTTTTAATCATTTTCTTCACCTCAAATTTTCTTATAGAAGAAAAATTTGACACACGTTTGGAACTAAATATATGAACAATACAAAGTTTTCTTATTTCTCTCCAGTGATCACTATATGGAGAAAAGGCAATATCTGAGCCATTGTAAGATAGTTTTTGTTGACCATATAATATAGGTCTATTAGAAAACACAAGATCATTGTTTTTCAATACTTGTTTGGCTATTTCAGTGGTTTTAAACCAAGTTGAAGTGAAAACAAGGGACCATATATTTTTGAGAATTGTGAAAATTGAAGATGAAGATTAGAAATATCTAGTTGATGAAGATTTCCTATTATGGGAAGACCTTTAGGACCAGGTGGCATGGTTCTATGTTTGAGGAAGAACAAAAACAAAGGAAGAATTAGACATGTAACAAGAAGAACTAGTATAACAAACAACATTGTTGCAATCAATATCACCTATGTTTTTTAGATGAGAAAGAGTTATAAAATGGTGTAACTATTATATACTAACATGTACGTCCACAATTAGAGAACTATGAGGCACCGCCTTTGACACGTGTATATATTTCATATAGGATTTCTAAGGTGTCTTAGAAAAACTATCCATTTTTTAATGAGATTACGTAAGTTGGCTCTTGAGAATGGTCAAGATATATCTAGCATCAAGAGTAAGAAAATGTTGATAAAGATAGATACAAATTAATTAATAATTATGTCTTTAAGTGGACAATAACCAAATTATAAACTATAATATCAAAACTCATGCATAGATGCGAGTGCTTATTGCGTTTATCAATTGAGTGATATTTAGCGGGTTAAGTTTATGGTTTTAAAAATTAAGAATAGAAAGTTTAGGTCTGGTCATTCGATTAGGGATTTGGGTCGATGCTGATTTTCTTTTTTAATGTTAGAGATTTGGGTTGGAGAAGATGAATTTTTGAGGAAGGTGGATAAAATGGCTCGACTCTTTGATTTTCAGTGGGACTATGTCCATTCTGATAAAGGGTCGTGCAATAAAAGATTTTAAGGTTGGTAAAGGCCTTCGACAAAGAGATTGGTTGTCTCCGTTCCTCATCATTCTTGTGATGGAAGTTCTTAATATTACGGTGAAGAAAGCTGAGTATTCTGATATGTACAAGGATTTCAAAGTGAATTCATAAGTGTTGTACAATATCGTACAATTTGCAAATGATACACTTCTGATAGGTGAAGCAAATTGGAAAAATATGTGGTGCATTATAGGGGACAGTCCTATGAGGGTCCACATGTGGAAGGAAGTCATTGATAATGTGAGGAGAAGGTTAGCAAAATGCAAAAGGGAAGTATTTGCCAATTGGAGGGAGATTCGTGATGATAAACGCAATGTTGAACGCAATGCCTCTGTATGCTCTTTCTTTCTATAAAGCTCCAGTAAGTGTTTTAAAGATTCTTAAGAATATTCATAGTAACTTCCTGTGGGGTGGTGGAGAAAGATTAAGGAAAATTCATTGGGTCAATTAGAGTTCAGTATGTTCCCATAAATAGAAAGGTGGTCTAGGTATTAAAGATGTAAGAATTTTCAATAGATCTCACCTTCTTAAGTGGAAATGGAGATCCTTACATTCTGAAGGTTTATTGTGGAAGGGCATTATCGATTTCAGATATGCAAAGAACGATATTGGTTTGGCAATTACAGGTTATGATGGGAAGGCCGAAAATAACTCAGATTCTATTTGGTGGCATGATCTTTTGGAGTTGAGTTATGATAAAAGGTTTGGTTCTGATGTGTTCGTCGAGAACTTGAAGTGCTCGCTGGGTAATGGCAAGGGTGTTGCCTTTTGGCATTGCAATTGGGTGATAGAAGTTCCATTGAAGGTAATGTTCCCTAATTTATTCTTTTTCTCTCTCAATATTGGTTGATCTATCGAAGAAATGAGTTAGTGGAGAGGGAATGTATGGAGTATATGTAAGAAGAAGCAATAGTGAATTTTTTATAACATGTCTATATGTCAATGACTTGTTAATAACAAGAAGTTGCAAGAAGGAGATCGAAGACTTCAAACATGACCTAAGTGAGGAGTTTGAAATTTCAGACTTGGAAAATCTCTCATATTTCCTTGGTATTGAGTTCTACAAGAGTGGTAGAGGTTTGATGATGCACCAAAGAAGATATATAGGAGAAATACTTAAGAGAATTAAGATGCAAGATTGCAACCCAACTTTGACTCCAGCTGAGCCGAGATTGCAACTGTCGAAAGAATCAGATGAAGATGATGTCGATCCAACGCAGTATAGAAAACTCATTGGATCACTTCGATACCCTTTTCACACAAGGCCTGATCTAGCATACAGTGTGGGTATGGTAAGTAAATTCATGGAAAAGGCAGAGGTATCACACCTAGCAACAACGAAGAGGATACTAAGGTATCTGGAAGCAACTTTCGAATATGGAATTTTATTTCCTGCAATTGATGAAAGAAAAGAATGCAAGTCAGTGAGGTACACGTCTCAACTTGGTATAGTGATGTTGAGGATAGAAAATCCACAGCTGGCTATGTGTTTATGCTAGGTGGTGCACGAGTTGCTTGGAGTTCAATAAAGGATTCAATAGTGACATTGTCTTCGTGTGAAGCAGAATACATAACTGCTTCTCTCTGTGCATGTCAAGCAAAGTGGACGGTGGACCTGGTTGAAGAGATTACTGCGAAGAGCCATGAAGCAATTACCATGAAAATCGACAACATGTCAACTATCAACCTGGCGAAGAATTCGATAGCACGTGGGCGAAACAGGCACATCAAAATAAGGTTCCACTATCTTCATGAGCATTTAGCAGAAGAAGAGATAAATTTGGAACACTGCAGAACTGAGAATCAGATTGCAGATATCATGACGAAAGGAGTGCAAGTCGAAGTGTTTAAGAAGATAAAGTCTATGATGAATATAGATATCTTAGACACAATGAATTAAGTGGTGTGTTGAAAATATAATTCCTTGTGTCGAAGCAAGTGTAGCTCGACAGAAACAAGAATGTGTCGAAATTAGCCTAGTGTGTGTCGAGTTATGTTAGATGTCGAAGTGTCGAAGTAGGTTTCTTGACACAGAATTTCGACTTAGACCAAAATAGAAATTTTGGGCTTTTGTGTTTTTGGGCTTTACCTTAGGGAACAATGTAGCTCAATTATAAATAGAGGGAGTAACCCTTAATCTTGTAATAACTTGTATTCGCAGATGTTTGCAGTTGCAAAGTGAATAAGAGAATTTCCACAGTTTGTGGGCAGAGAGAAACTTTCTTTCTTATTCAATTTTCTTTCTTCTTCCATTAACAATTGTTGCGCAGAATCATTCTTGCAATGATGGTATGATTATTTCACATGAGTAGAGAGTGAAGAACAAGAGATTTCGATCAGGTTGATTGAATCTTGTTCATCAAGATTGATTCGGAGTTCTCAAAATTTTCGATTAATTCTAACACAAATAATACATATTTCAAGGTAGATCGAAGCAAAGCTCTAGATAACATATTGATTATTAAATAAAGACTAAAATTTCAATAACAAATAGAGTAACTTTTGAAAATAAAATATATAAAATATCATAAACTGACTAATCCTTTATCCAATTTGAACAAACATTTTATTATATATTATCCAGCACATAAATACTAAGGCAACTATTGTTCCCATTCACTCTACCTAAATTCAATAATAACAAACCAAAAATATAATACCTAGAAACATAACTTATTAAACAAGAAATCAACATAATATAAAGAGATACATCTACTTATGGATATTAGCAACAAGGCAAAGAGGATTTTTCTTATGTTGAGTGATTCCTGGCAACATTTCGGTATCAATCTCCATCAATCCATGTGGTAATTTCCAATCAAACACATATAGAAGATTAGCAAGGATAAATTCCAATGATGCAACTGCCATAGATATACCTGGACAAATTCTACGACCAGCTCCAAATGGTATTAGCTCAAAATCTTTTCCATTAAAATTTATAGAACTTTCTAAGAATCTCTCAGGATAAAACTCATTAGGGTTTTTCCAAACTTTAGGGTCTCTTTGAATAGTCCAAGCATTCACATACAATATTGTCTTGGCTGGAATATTGTAACCACTTATAGTACATTTTTCTCTTGATTCTCTTGTCACAAGCAACGGGGCTGGTAGGTGCAATCTTAATGTCTCTTTAATCACTGCTTTTAAATAAGGAAAATTTTGAATATCATGTTCTTCTAAAAAGTCTTTGTTAGATTTCAAATCCCTAATTTCTTCTTGTACTTTTTTCATTACTCTTGGATTTTTCATTAAAGCAGTCATAGCCCAAACAGATGTGGCTGCTGTGGTATCTGTTGCAGCAACAAGCATGTTCTACAAAGAAAAAGAGAGCCATTCAATTTATCTTAAAAGCAATTTTTTTAAACAATGTTTATCTTAAAAGTTTAAAAGTATATCATGTCAATTTGATATTTCTCAATATCTTTTTATAAATATGGGTGAAATAAATTAACAAGATAAAAAGGCTGCAAACTAACCTAAGTGTCAACCATTTAACTAAAACGGTTAGATACAACCATAAAATATGTCT